TTTAAAATTATGATATGCCTAATGTCTTAGATGATGTTATAAAACTAATTTCACATTTTTAGTATCACCAGAAATAATGTCATTTTGGAAAAAAATGTATTTTTAACCTTTAAAACAGATATTTTATTCAAATGGGTCTGATTTGTATTTATTGTATTTATAGCCTTCAAAACAGATATTTTATTCAAATGAGTCTGATTTGTAACGTTTTTTTAAATTATGATATGCCTAATGTCTTAGATGATGTTATAAAACTAATTTCACATTTTTAGTATCACCAGAAATAATGTCATTTTGGAAAAAAATGTATTTTTAACCTTTAAAACAGATATTTTATTCAAATGGGTCTGATTTGTAAAGTTTTTAAAATTATGATATTTGATTCCAATCAACAAATCGAATGAACCTATACGATCATACAGATACCACAAAATGTCCGATATTTCGAAAAAAAAACGTAAAAAATGGGTGTTTTGGGGAAAAACTCGATTTCGATTTCTCCGTCCAATATCATTGGATTAAATAAATTAATGTATCGTTGGGCGGCAGAAGGATTGGACTATCGTATGATTCCTAATTCATACGGATACTATGACAAGGCAGCAAAATATGGCACGTTGAAAAACAAGTATTTTCTGTTTTGGAGCGTTTTTGGACCTACAAATTTTTTTTTTAATTTTCTCCATCGAGAGTCCATTCGACAGTCTTGTGTATGAAGCCATCCAATAAGACTTTGAAATGTCTGGGATAGGATAAAAAAAAGGAACTGAAAATCGAAAAAAAGTAGAAAAATCGTGAAATTTTGGAAAATGCTCTATTACTTTATTATTTAAACAGATTTTTACAAAAAGTCTACACATTCAGATAGCTGACCTATTTGCGATTCTAACGATGTATAATATGTATTGAAATATTAAAATTTAATTTTCGACATTTTGACATTTTTGCATTTTTGGCACTTTTAAACATAAAATTTCTCAGGGGCATTTTATCTGATCAGATAATGTAAAATATCATTACAGAGCCCTGTGGCTATTTAATTACCAAAACCGGTTATCAAAACTATCCCGACAATAATCTCCATACCGGAAGTATTCAAAAACTGAAGAAAAGGGTTAAAAAAAATTGGCGCTCTTGCGAAAAACTTGATTTCTCCATCAGATATTAGTGGACCAAAAGAACTAAAGTGTCGAATGAACCCATACGATCATACAGATACCACAAAATGGTTTCTAACTTGTACAGTTGCAGAGAAATACACGATTTTCTACAAGGCACTTTTCAAGGTTTTTGGTCTATAAAAGTGTCAAATATTATTCGATTTACATAAAAAATTTCAGCATGTGATGATGCTATTTCTGATTTCATAAACTAATTTAAGATTTTCATTATCACCGGAAGTATTGTAACATCACTTACATGTAAACAAATGTATAAAATGAATTGATTGCTGGATTTGGTTGATTCTGCGTCCATTTTATTTCATGTGTGCAATGCTTATGTGGAAACCTGTTTAACGGTTTCTTTGGTACCGAAAGTGACATAAGTTCAAGGGTAACGTGGCACCGATGAAACCCTTCATTACTGCATCGCTGTTCCAGTTATTATTATTATTATTATTCAAATTCCATTTTGATTAGATCTCAGCAACTGCTTGTCGCATCGTTTCGATTTCTTCGGTTTTACTGGAAAGTGGGTGTGACTTAGAGGATAAAGCTATTTTTAACGTTCTGCGACAATGCGAAATATCCGAAATCACCGAAGTTATCGTTTTTAAAAATATTGCAGTAATTTTTACAATAATGGTTGGATTTTAACTTTCAATACATTTTGGCATAGCTGGAGACATGGCACATAGCTGCGCTACTTTTGATTTTTGATTTTCGGCAAATCTTTGCAGATATTTGGCGCCAAATTTAGAAAATTTAAATTTTTACAAAAAACTTGATTATTTATGAATATGTTTTGGCCCTGTTTTACAAAGAATTAAAGAGTCATCTGATTTGAGCAAAAATGTGAATTTATTTTGTCTAAGTAATTTTCCTTGGTCGCCATTGGCTAATTCTATTTTTCAGTGCTAGATTAATTATTTATTGTTCGATTTGTATAAAACAAAGTTCATATGCTCTGTTGTCTCAATTGTCATTTTTTTTTTGTTATCGATAGAGTTATCTGTCGGCACCGGAAGTGGCGTAATTTTACCAAAAACTACAATTTTGACAGTTCGTTACCACTTTTCGAAAGCAAATATTATTTTTTTAAAAGTCATATAACTAAAAGAGTGTTTCCTTTAAAGGCGCAAAAAACTGTGAGCTTAGTTTTTTTTAATTTCAATTTCATTTTCGAGCAAATTCGATTAAGAGGGGGGGGGGGGAAAGGTGTAAAATTGACCTATTTACAACCCAATCACGGGCCTGTTTCACGGAATTTTAACTAAGATAAAATCTAGATTTTAGTAATTTGATTGGATAATATTAGATTGATTTTAGTGCTTAGCCAATCAAAATTGAAGTATCTACTAAAATTTGGATTTTATCTTTAGTTAAAATTTCGTGAAACAGGCCCCAGGCTTTTACGTAACTTTTCTAAACTTCTAGCTATTATCCATACGAAGAAAATGTATGTTAAAATTAGTTTGTAATATGAGCAGTCCCTTTTTACGCTATTTTGCCGGTAAAAGAGTCAATTATTATTGAATTTTCATAGAAGTGACACCTTTTGATGCACAATGTCAATTTTGACTAGGTCAAACCAATTTGACAGTTTAAATGTCACCTGAAATGACGTAGTTTGGGCAAAACTGTATTCAAAGCCTTCGAAACAAATAATTTATTCATATCAGTCAACTAATAGAATGAATCCTTACGATCATATAGATAACTCAAAATGGTTTCTAACTTGTTCAGTTGCGGAGAAATAGACGTTTTTCAACAAGTCACTTTTCAAGGTGTTTGGTCCATAAAGGTGTCAAATATACTATTCAAAAAAAGTAGGGGATATTTGATTTTGGGGGCATAATACTAAAATATGCAAATGACTACGAAAAAAGTCACTATAGAACCTAACAGAAGAAACATTTCCAGTTACATGTGACGCCCAAACGCACCAATAGCTACCGCATGGAATGCAGGTGATGCTTGGGATCATCATGGGGGTCCAACCCAAGATTTGCACGACTCTGACTTTGAATGTTACAGTCATTGTGGCATTGAATTCCAGGGTGGAAACATCAGTTTAATTGTTTTAGTGACCAGAAAACAAATTTTGATATGCGTCGGCTTACCCAAAATGAAAGGTTACGTGCCCTTGGCATGCTACAGATCGGCACAACACAGGCGGTTGTGGCGCGGACGATGAATGTTTCTCAGTCTGTCATAAGCAGGCTATGGTCCAGATACCGTGATATACAATCTGTACAGGACAGACCACGCTCAGGTCGACCAAGGGCGACAACTCAAGCCTAGGATCGATTTATCCGTACCTTGGCCTTGAGAAATCGTGTCATCACAGCAAATCAGATCAGCGCTCGTCTTCAAACAGACACTGGTGTGAGAGTGAGTGGCCAGACGATTCGGAATCGACTGCATAGGGGTCACCTTCGCGCCCGACGTCCTCGCGTGATCCCTTGTTTGAGAGATCATCACATTCAGGCAAGACGTCGTTGGTGTAGGGATCGTCAACACTGAGATAATCGACGCTGGAGCAATGTGATGTTTTCAGATGAGTCAAGGTTCACTGTTGATTTTTTGGACAGCCGTAGGAGGATGTGGCGTCGTCGAAACGAGCGCTTCCAAGACGTTAACGTCATCAGACATGATCGATTTGGGGGTGGTTCTGTTATGGTGTGGGGAGGCATCACTGTTGCTGGAAGAACGGCTTTACATGTTGTTGCAGGGCGTGTTACAGGCCAGTACTACCGGGACAACATCTTGGCAGTCCATGTTGTGCCGTTCGCACGACGTCATGGCCGCCGTTTCATCTTCCAGGATGACAACGCAAGATGTCACAGGGCCAGGATCGTTACAGGTTACCTCCAACAACAGAACATCACCACATTACCTTGGCCAGCACTGAGTCCCGACCTCTCCCCCATCGAGCATGTCTGGGACATGCTTGGACAGAGGTTACGTCAACGTCAACAACGTCCTGCCAATGTCCAAGAACTTGCTGCTGCGTTGCAACAGGAATGGGACAATCTGGACCAAAATGACCTTAGACGTCTCATTAGGAGTATGCCACGTCGGATCAATGCTTGTTTGGCAAACAGAGGAGGATTTACCCGTTACTGACTTGGTTGTGATGCTGTGGTAACTTTGCTGTTTGACCCCGGGTATCATTTTACCCTTATAATGGTCAGTCTGTGACTTACTTAGTCTAACGATCATTTGGAATAAATCGATGAATGTGAACTTCATTTCATTTTGTGATTTGTTTCTTCGTCAGTTTCATTAGGTGACTTTAATAACATTTAAAAATCAAATATCCCCTACTTTTTTTGAATAGTATATTATTAAATTTTCATAAAATTTTCACTGTGCAAAACCTAATGCCATTTACGATTTCATAATATAAAATTTCATTATCACAGGAAGTACCGTCATTTTGGCAAAAACTGTATTTTTAGCCTCTAAAACAAATACTTGTTTGACGCAAGTGATAATCATTATTCGTATAAAATTATGATATTTGATTCCTACGGACAAATAGTATTAAACAATACGATCATATTGATATCAAAAAATTGTTCGTACACGTAGAATACCCTACTGAATGATAATCAAAAGATAACTGTTTCGGTGCAATTTCTTTTGGGTTAGGCTTTATTTGAGCTAATTTAACTAGCCTGATATTAGAAGACAAAAACATGAACAACATGTTTCGATTTACTAAAAAAAAAACATGTTTTCATAGCCAAAACGAAACAATAAAAATTTCCATAACACGTTATATTGCAATCACCGTAAATTTCATTAATAATTTTTTCATATTATATATTTCAGAAAAGGATGCCAATCATCATGACGAAACGATGGAAGAGTTTTTTGATCTGGACGAAATATTTGGATATCACGTTTCAGACTCTAAAGATGCCCCTACTCAGAGCAACAACAAGCTGAGTGTCAAAATAAGTATTCAAGATACAACCACAAAACAACCACCAACTAGAACAACAACAACCACAACGACAACTAAACCACCAAAAAACAATGACGTGAAAACAGATACTGACGATGAGGATGTTGACGTCATATCAGGGGCTGGATCTGGATCTGGGATGGATGAGGATGAAAACCAAAAGAAAAACAATGAAACTGTTTTAACTTTTCTTGGTAAGTGTGCAGGCTTATTTAATTCTTTTAGGCCCAAGTGGTTAAGTTTTTAAATAATTTCTTGTTTTATGATATTTTATAAATGATTTAGTTTGGTTAGGGTATCCACAAGTTTTACACATTTTGCTGAAGGGGATAGAGGTGGGACTTGAACGTTCCGATGATCGATAAAGAGGTAAATTATTTTCAATACGAAAAAAGACAAAGAAGTTAAATTATTCTTGAAATCTGTATTTTCGTATTTTTTTTTTTTTTCGTCCATTCCGTTTTTTGAAATCTTCGTTACGCATCTATCGTAACAATGATTATATTTGGAACGTGTTTAACCAGTACTATCACACATGGGAAAGAACTTATATAGGCTTTGCCTGTTGTTCAATCCTTTTCAAACGAATAAAATATTGTTTAAACTAAACACATGGCTGACACCAATATTGTCCTTTAACGTATACTAGTCCTGGAGATATCAGTAATTACCCAAAACAAATTGCAAAAGTTCAACCCTCTACGGATGTATCTAAAATATATAAAAAAATCGCCGTCGGTAGAACCTGCCATTTTTGATATACAGGTAAAACAAATGTGTCACTATAGTAACGTTAAACTAAGGCCTCGGCGGGCTTCCGTAGTTGATTAATTCGTAGCCGGAAGTAGCAGACGACACTAGCTGATATCAACAAAACGTCTTAGGCAGAGCAGAAATCGCAGAAATCAACCTAATACTTCCAATAATATAATAATAGATGAAATAATACTTATTTAGTTCAAAAAGTAAGTAGTAAGATTCCTAATTATATTGAATTTCAGTAATTATTTCAATTCAGACTCACACGATTAAGCAATGTACTTCAATTAGCCTAGGCCTTGGCAACGTATCGTTAAATTTGATGCATGCATATCAATTAATGAATTTCCTTTCAAACCTATCATTCTAAATTTAAAATAATTTATATTCAATAGATATGCGTTTAATTTATGTCAAATTTTATCGTCAGATTTAGGCAAACACTAGTAATTAGTCGTTTTAATGACGTGATGAAGCCTTTATCGTGAAAAAATCTATGGAAGCCCAGTGACGACATAAATGCTCGTTTATTTATCAAGTAAATTCTCTACTTAAAGAGTTTTTTCTTTCTTTTTTTTAGTGAGCGGTATCTTTTGTGAAAAGCGTTTAGACGACGACCAACCAGTAGTAATTCTTGGCAGAAGGATTGTGAAACTATAAACTTGATTAGTGAAAAGCTAAATCTTTCTACTAACGTCACCCCACAACAAGCTGTACATAGGGGCTGTAGGCGTAACTTCTGTAGACAAAAGGAGTTCCGACGTTCCCAGCATAGTGGCAATTTATCTGAAGCGTATAGAAGGCTTCGGTCAGAAGAAGACGGGTTCGATGTTGAAAAACGTTGTCTTTTTTGTCAACAGAATGCCAAACTTAGCGGGAATAAAAGAGGTTTTGAAGTTATTCCTGTTCGGACATTTGATTTTCAAAATACTGTTAGAGAAATTTGTTTAAAAAGGAATGATGCATGGGGGAATCAAGTTCTCGCCCGACTAGAGTATGCTCTGGATTTACTCGCAGCTGATGCTATATACCACCAGACTTGTAATGTAAATTTTCGAACTGGGAAGTATATACCCGTTTCCAAACAGAAAGACGAGTCACTTTCATATAAGTTTTCCAGAGGGAGACCAGAAAATCAGACTCAACTGACAGCTTTTCTTAAAGTAGCCAAGTCTCTACAAGAGAATGATGATGAACAAATAACTATAGGTGATCTTGTAAAACGGATGGATGATTTGTGCCCTAGTGATGCTTACAGTTCTACATATATGAAGAAAAAAATATTGGAGTATTTTAAAGATCAAATAATTACAGTCTGGTTAAAACACAGATCCTATTTCGTTTCGTTTTTATAGTTCAAAATTTCGTTTTACTTGTCTTTACTACACTTGGATCTGGAAGAGTTGTTATTTAACTCGTGTTCTGAATGGTGTCAGGGATAAGCCAATGAAACGGTCTGTTACGGCGAATTTTAGGCGTGTTTTGCACTGAACTGTGGGTAATCGACTAGTGACATCAATGCCGATTGGTTAATCAAATGTCTGACATCATAGGGTCATAAGTCGGTCTTTTGACCCCTGACGTGACCTATCGCTATAACTTGTCAGATCTTCATGTAGTGTAGGCCATCGAAAGTATATTAAAAAAAAAAGAAACGAAATATAGACAATTTATACGTAAAGTCAGCCTATCTATATCTGCAACAAATGTATGAACTTCCTAGTAACCAGCCGAAAGTATATATGGAGTTCATGGATGGACATCATGTGGTGCGCAGAAATGATCGGTTCTGGGCAGGTTTGTCTACAGACCTTATTATTGAGCAGACTTTAATGCGAAGCTTAAAATCCACAGGTGGAATGACGAGGGGCAAAGGAATGACAGAGACTCAACGCGTTCAATGGTTGCTTGCTATGCCCATGTGTGCTGCAGTTAATTCGAGTATGCAAACCGTCACAGAGATTTCATTTTCGTCCAGTGAACAACACAAGGAAATGTTTGGTTCAAGACAAAAAAGAGACAGAGAAGATTTAATTACAGTTTTCGACTTTTTAAAAGAGAGAAATCCATTTGAAAAAATGGATATGTTGCGTAATATCGAGACTGGGGTAACTGCTAAAGACAATGTAAATGTTCACTTGGCTAAAACTGTTGGAGAAGACATTATAGAGAATATCAAGGACCAACCTGTAATGGAATTATCTTTTCGGAAGAGAAAGCAAGTTATTACTATGGATCAACATTATTTTCTCAAAATGGAAAATAAAACGGTGCGAGTTAGCACACAACTTCTTTTTCAACGCTTGTTGGTTGCTGCTACAGGCGTTACTGAAGATATGCACCAAGTATTTTCATATGAACTCAGTTCTGTTCCTTCTGCGTTATTTGATAACAGTGGGTGTATGAGGGAAGCCCATAAGTCTACATTAGCAGATGTTATCAGGTCTTTGGGTGATTGTTCAGCGGATGAGAAAACTGACGCTGATATGAAGTATGTTGTAGATGGTGGTTCACTTTTACATCAACTTCCTTGGTCTAGGGGATTGACATTCTCTGAAATTTGTCAACTGTATGCCAACTATGTTAATACGAGATATGGATATCCAACTATTGTATTTGACGGATACATGTCCGACCCTTCTACGAAGGATGTAACGCACCAACGTCGATCTAAAGGCATAATGAGCCCAAATGTATTATTTACTGGTGATACGCCTTCCGTTCAAAAAAGGACCACTTTCTAGCTAATTCTCAAAACAAGCAATCCTTCATCGATCTTTAACCCTTGGACGTATAGGCTGCAGAGTTATCCAGGCAAAATCCGATGCAGATGTGTTGATAGTTAAAACTGCTGTGGAATCTATTGTAAATTTCCCCACTACATTAATCGGTGAAGACACAGACTTATTAATCTTGTTGTGTTATTATGCATGCACAATACCAAATAGTCACAAACTTCAGTTCCGTTCAGGTAAAAGTACAGGTTTAATTCATAAAGCTAAGGTTTGGAGCATGCAAAAGATGTTGTGGGGCGGCAGATCTGTTCAATTCTTCCCACAGTTCATGCGCTCACAGGATGTGATACCACCTCAAGAATCTTTGGTGTTAGAAAGGCCTACGTATTTAAGAAAGTGGGAACAAATGTTTATCTCCAAGGTGAATTCGACAAATTCCAAAAGTGTCAAGAGACGAAAATCTCAATCAGCTAAGATATCGTTTATTCAAGGAAAAGTCCATTTGTAATACCTCAACAGTTGAAATCCATACCCTGCCACCAACCTCGTCTGCTGCGAAATTTCACTGTATGCGAGCTTTTCTTCAAATAAAAGATTGGACAAGCGACTCGGTCATGGATGCAACATTATGGGGATGAAAAGTTGAAAACGGTTTATATCTACCCACCCAAACCGACATTGATCCTGCACCGTCAGCCATTCTTTCTATAATAAGATGTAAGTGCAAAGTGAACTGTGACAGTAAGCGGTGTTCTTGCCGAAAACACGGACTTGAATGTTTCATATCATGTAAGGAATGCAAGGGACTAAGTTGCTCTAAATCACAGGCAATTGACTTTAGTCATGATTGAACTTATTTCAACTATTGACTATTCGATTCCACAAACTGTATTTTACTACTATTGTGAATACCAATTTATGTGTTCCAAAATTAGAACACTTCAGCACTAAAAGCTTGCTGTTATCGCACCTAATTGTGTTCTTTTTTTTATGAAAATCCTAGAAAACAACTTTTTTATGCCCAAACTGAATTGACAAAATGTCCCTTATTTTCGTTGTCCCAAAGTTCGAAGATAAAAATAAATACTTGTATGTATGGATTTATGTAATTCAGAACAACATTTTTGAGGTCATGATCCTATGACGTCATTATGTATAATGCCCTAATTAACGTCACTAATTATGCACAATGACCTAATTAAGATATAAAAAAACCAAATAAGTTTATAAGCGGATGCGTTGTCTGTCTTTTTTACACAATCGATTTACAAGTATTTTATCAAAAGCAATTTCAAGATCTCAGGTGTTGTTCTAAATAGAGTAACTTAGACAGGTGAAAAATTGCATTATGGATCAAGGGATCGGTGGCGACTTTTGATAGGATGAACATTAAAGTCCAAACAATATAATAACTGTAAAAACATTTTTTTGGCAATTTGTCTGAGGTTCTGGCTTTATTTAGAGTATATCTCCTGGACTATAGGTAAATAAACAAATAAAACTCCACATTACTACTTGTGAACGTGTAGGAGCAACTCACGAATTTTAAACCCTAAAGTTAAAACTGAAATTAAATGATAAAAGGAAACGTAACAATCATGTTAATCCTTCATTATGCTTCGTCGACAAGATCATTTAAATCGTTAATAAATGAACCCCGGGATGATTTACCCAATACTACCCGATACTACCCAATACCGCCCGAATACCACTCCAATTTCAGCACATACTACCCAATACAGCAACATAATGGTGCCAAATGAGCATATTACTTGATTTTTTTCAAAAATAATGAGATATATCATGGGAAATGTACTTCAAATGTGATTACCGATGTCTGGCTGTTCCATTTGCCTTCCTATATCACCCATTAAAATAAAATCAGTTTATAAAATAAACAGCCAAGGATCCAAATAAAAAAGTATTTTAGAGGTTGATTTAAAAATGTTCATTTAACGGTCTCGTGGCCTACTCAAAAGTCTTTTTATACTATAATTATTTCTTCATCCTGTTGATTTTAGTATGATAACACGCTGTCTACAAGTGCACGCGGTCCTGTAAAAATCATTTGGGTATAATATGTCAGGAAAGCACACGAATTTATCTTTATATCTGTTTTTTAATGACTTATTAACGCGTCTTCTTTGTCTTTTAAATGATTCCGGTTCCAAACCAGTCGCCTTTGAAAAAAAAAACTCTTGTCAAAATTTCACCGATTCTTTGAATATCGACACTATTGAACAAATTCTAAGTATTCTACGGTATATACCCACAGGTGACGATGTCGCGGCGATGTCATTACCACCTAAATGAATAGACACGGTCACCATTTTCCTCCCACCTATGCATATGTTTATATTTATTTTATCATGTCAACGATTAAGTTATTGCATATATACTTAATGGACTATGTTTTGTTTTAAAATTAACGAAATTGCACATGCTTATTACAATGCACATGTTTATTACAAATGTGTAATGCTCTACTCGTATATATATACATTCCACCTGACTTAACAATTAATCAATGGGGTTAAGATTGTTATTTGGATATTCAAGTTCTGGTTTATTTATATAATCAAAGAACCCGACAGAGCTGTAACAGGCCGCAAATGATAGTTTTGATGAACTGAGAAGTGTCGCGTCGAGAATTACACACTGGAAAGAAGCATGTCCAATTTCGTTAGTTTTAAAACAAAACATCGTGCAGTAAGTAAATACGCAACAACTTAATAGTTGACATGAAAAAATGAATATAAACATTATGCAATTGCTTTGTTAAAGCATTAATTTTAAAATAAATACAAACAATCGACACTAACTAGGTAATTTCAGGACTAACATATAGTTCAATATTTTTTCATTAACTCGCTTGCGCGAAGGGGTGTTTAACAGTGAGATGAAACCGGGGGACCCGAGAAAACCCACCTTGTTTGACAGACGACCTTATCAAGTGGTAAGAGACAGATGGGTCATTTTGGGAATAAAA